TTCCCAACCTTGTCCTGCCCGTGGCACACAGCTTGCCATATTTTGCCCTGGAGGGTGTCTCTGCCTCATCTCCCAGCACCTCCACATGCAAATGTCATCTGTACTCAGGCTTTCCTTCTGAGTCCCTGCGTCCTGCTGGTGGTGTCAGCACTCCCGGAAGTCCCGTCTGAAATTGGTACTGAGGAGCGATGAGGCTGGACCAGGGTGTCTGGGAGACAAACCCAAGCACCTTCGTGCTTGGCTGGGAAGACTGTCCTGCTCACCAGGAGAAGGAAGGGGGTGATGCGTGCATCCCTGTGAGTGTGTGAGGTTTGGACAAGTTAGGGGGCTTTTAGAAGCGGGGGGAGGAAAACAAAAGCTGGAGAAGGTAGTGAATGGGAGCAAATGTCTCATTACCACTGGTGCCCGATGTTTAAATGTTCCCTAAACGTTGCTTTTTTCAGGAAAATAAGTCTTTCCTGCTGGTAATGCCCTCTGAAATGTCCCAAATACCCTTTCCATTCACCACAGATGCTGTTAATTGGACTCATGCAGAGTATATGTACTTTAATAATTCGCTTATTAACTAGTTGTTCTTAACTATAGTTGTTAACACATCCACTGTGTGCTCAGGTCTGTGCCGAGCCCTGGGGAGGAAGCAGAGCTTGCAGGAGTGGGCCCTCCAGAGTGTCCTGTCCCTGAGGGGGCTGGACGGGGCCCTGGGGGCAGGAATGTGAAGCTGATTGAGACAGCAAGGCAGACGCGCCTAACTGGGGGCGGGCCTTGGGGGGCTGGCGCCTTCGTGCATGTCCAGGTTCCCACTGTTACCTGCCCCCTGCAGTTTGGGGGGCAGGGAGGGCCTCCTGGAAGCTTGGGAGGTGACGCAGAGCTGCCATAGGGCCTGGGGTGAGCTCAGCTGAAGGGCAGGACGTGCCTCAGCGACATCCTGCCTCCATCTAGATCTTAGGCGAAGTGTTTGTCTTCTTTTCCTTGGTCCTCTTTTCTGCATATCTGGGGTCCTGCCACCTGCCTGGCCCACATCATAAACCTGAGGGCCCTGTAAGTAATGGTCGTGGGGGTGCTTTTAATTTTTAATTTAAAAAATTGTTATTTTTAATTGTGGTGAAGTATGCATGGCATTTTAGCCATTTTTAGCCATAGTTCAGTGACATTAAGTGTATTATCTGAGGTAGCTTTTAAAAATTAAAGATGCTTTAACAACTTTGTTATCATTAGTGTTGGGCTGTGAAGGTTTGTTGCTTTCCTGCAGGTTCCCAGAGGGCAAATACTTGTGTAAACGGTGACATGGGAGGGGGAAGGGGGGCCTGCGGGTTGGGGGAAGGACTGTCTTGGCTGCGACCATCATGGGCCCCTGCTCCCTGCCAGCCTTGCCACTGCTCCCAGACCTTCAGTTCACTCCTGCCAGGTGTGGTCTGGCGTCTGGCAGGCCTGTCACCTCAGGGATGTCCTGTGCCTTTTGGGAAGTGGGGCGGGGGAGATGTAGGGCTTGACTGGTCCCCAAGCTGAGGGACTTGCCCTGAGACTGTGCCAGGTGCGTGCAGCGGTTGGGTCCCACAGGGCCGCAGAGTATTTCCTTGAAGGCACTAACTAAAACGTTTCATACCCATACCCCCTCCCCGTCATACAAATTCAGACTCATATTGGTTTAATTAATAGCCATCCATAGTTAATGGAATTCGGTTAAGGCTTGAGCACATCAGTGCTGTGATACCTTCCTGAGGGTTTGCTTTCAACTCAGAGCTCCTGATGGGTGGGGTATCTCATTTTAATGAAGATCCAGTAGGTGCTGTACACATTTTTCATGTGATGGATTCTTTCAGTTTCACTGCTTAGAATCTAGTTGACTTTTCTCCAGACACTATAGACATTTCTTGTTTCTCTGCTCAAAGACAGGAGAGTCAGTAGTGTGTAGCATCCATTCCCTGGAACTCTTTGTCCCGGGGGAAGGTATAGTAGGTGTCTTCTTTCGTAACCACCTTTTTACTTTTGTTCCCCTTTTCCACTTTCTGTCCTAAGACAGTTGGCAGTAGAGATGCCCTCCCCAGGATGAGTGTGAGGAGGGGCCTGGGTGCCCTGGAGCCGCCGTGGCTTTGGCGGTCCTTGGTGTCCAGCCGCCCATGAGCCCAGTAGGCCCTGACGGGGCCACAGCTGTGTTTTCGCAGAGGCCCCCGATCTCCCTGGCAGGAAGCATGTGGTCTGGGCCTGCCGACCGTGGGAGCCCATGATGCCCTGGGAAGCCGCGGAGCCCAGGGTATGATTCACTCGGGGGCGGGGAGGGGGGCATGGAAAACAATGTCTGTCTTTAAGCTCCAGGAACTAGGAAAATGAGCTGGAAATGTGAGTAATGTATAATTTTACTAAAATTAACCAGCGAGTTCCTCAGACGTTTTCTTTCTGTGTTTTTTCAGCGTCTCCGCCTGCTCCATGATGCCCCGCTGCGTCATGTTTTTCATTGACTGTTTTTCTGGTTCGCCCCCAAAGTTGCCTCTTCTGCTCCCCCACATGGTGTGGGCGCAGAGTGGACCTTCAGGAGCACTGGTGGCAGCTGTGGGTGGGCACCACCCCGTCAGCTGTGTGCCCTTGGACACCTCACTGCCATCTTTGAGCATCCTTTTCCCCTGGAATGTGGCCACCGATCCGGGGATCTCAGGCCTTGATTTGCCGATATTCAGGTGCCACGTGGACGTTAGCGCGAGGGATTGGTGGGCTGTGTGTATGGTCGTGACTTTCATGTTGGATGGGGACCCATGCTGCCTGAGCTTTAGGCTGTTCCTTCCGCCGGCAGGGGGCGGGGTGGGAGGGGGAGTAGGGGGGTCTTCATCCAACTCTCTCCAGCCACCCGCGCCCTTCTCGGGCACGTTCTACCTCACCTGTACCCCAGGAGAAGGCAGGGCTATGTCTTACTTTCTGTAACTATTACAGAATAGGGGTTCAGTTAATCCTGGTTGAATATGCTGGAGTCTGAATTGGACAGGGGAGAAATCTGACTGAGAAGCCAGTAATCTATTCCCTGAGTTTACCTCATTCATTAAATGGCCTTCAGAAACCTTAACTTTTTGGAGGGGAGCAAGGGAGAATATTGTGGCAGGGAAGCAATTCCTGTATCTTGCCAAACATTAACATTTTATTTTATCCAAATTTAGAAGGAAACTTTTAAAATTTTCCTTTTTCAATTACAGTTGACATTCAGTATTATATTCTATTAGTTTCAGGTGTATAGCACAGTAGTTAGATAGTCGGTTAATTTAGGAAGTGTGCTCCTAGATGAAGAAATTGTCGATGACGGTGCGATGGGTTCTCTGTTACAGGTTTGTACGGGGCACTTTGGGACCCAGAGCGCAGCACCAAAAGCTGCAGGTGTGGCTGTGGGGGGGCGGGGCGTGCAGATGTGTGTACAGTGAGAGGCAGGAGGTGTGGCAAGCAGACTGTTGTAACTACTGAGCATGACTCTTGGGGGCACAAAACCCAGACGAGGATGGGAAGGTGGTCAGGACCAGAGTGGGTAGGGCCAAGGGGGCCACTGGAGACAGTGACGAGCTTCTGAAAATTGTACTGAGGGCCTGATGTGTTCGGATCTACTGTATAAAAAATTGTGTTGCAATGAATACAGATAAAGCAGGAATTCTGGATAAGGTTTGGTGGATTGTCTCAATGTCTCAATAGCCTGTTTTACAAGATGTCACTATGGGGGGCAGCTGGGTAAAACGGGTACATGTGCGTCTACAGTTTTAAAAAGTGTGCTTCTCTCTCTCTCTCTCTCTCTCTCTCACACACACACACTCACACACACACATATATAAAATTGCTAAGCCATCTCATTCTGCCAGTTGAAGTGGCAGCAGGATCTGCTGCTGTTTTCTCTGGGTTTCTCAGGCTTCTCTGCCATAAAATAGGTTGTCTGCTGAGGTAAGAGGATGACTGCTTGTGAACTCGCAGAATAATTTGCATTTCTTAAAGAAAAAATCACTGAAATCATTGTCTACCACATTTTAAAAGGTATACTCATTCATTATTAAGAAGAGATTGCTCTGGCAGCAGGAGAACATGGTGGGTTTAAAGGGCTGAGACTCGAGGCAGAGAGAACCCCGGGTATGAACAGAAAGAAGGAAGGACCTGGGCCCATCCCGGAACTGCGTTTGTGGTCTTGTTGGCCCTGCCTTACCATTACCTGGGCTGTGGTGTCCTCTAATAGGTGCAACGTGTGATACTGCCTTAGAGTCAATTCAGCAGACTGCAGGGGTGGGGGTGGCGTTTACCACCCTGTCCGTGTTCCACACAGTACCTGCCACGTGCCCCGCACACAGCCGAGGCCTCTGTGGGCACCAGCTGATGGATTTTCCGAAAGCAGATGACTTGCTGGTGTCCTCTGGTTTTAGGAGCTGCATGCAGGCTCTCTGCTCTCCAGACAAGCCTGTGCGTGTACACACCGTGAACCAGAGCACATGTCACTGCTCTGAGTCTTGGTTCCATCATCTGGAAAGCGGGTAGTACAGCATCTCCTCAGAGCTGCTTGGAAGGGCGAACGAGCCAATAATACCTGTGGAGCAGGACCCGACCCTTAGAATCCTTTTGGTCACTCCGGGTTATCATCGTCGTGTCCATCCTTATCAGGGGCAGATTCTTGTCAAACCAAGTAGGCCTTGAGCACCTAGGTTAGTTCTTTCAGCTGTGAGCAAGTGGAGGTTATTGTAGAAGTGCTCGGATAGGTACGGGACCTGCATGGAGAGGCTGCTGAGCAGAGCCTGAGGGAGGTACTTCCTCCTGGCAACACGGGGCTTTGTAGTCACCCTGACCCAGGTTAGCATCCTGGTTCAGCTTACCGGTCAGTGAGCTGGTTGACCTGGACCTCAGAAAACAGGGATGATGATGATGATGTTTATCCACAGCAAGGTGAAGAATCAGATGAAACAATCTGTGTGAAGCACTTGGCATATGGCCAGTATCCCCTTCGCCTTTCACACGGTGCAGGTATTCCCATCTGAGTGATCCCTCTCTTTCAGGAACAAGACTGCCAATGGAGACTGCCGGAAGGACCCCCGGGAACGGAGCCGCAGCCCCATCGAGCGGGCTGTGGCCCCCACCATGAGCCTGCACGGGAACCACCTGTACACGTCCCTCCCCAGCCTCAGCATGGAGCAGCCCCTTGCACTGACCAAGAATAGCATGGACGCCAGCAGGCCGACGGGCATCTCGCCCACACTGACCCCGGTGGAGCGGCAGCAGGTGTGTGTGCCCAGGAGGGCTCAGGCTGGTGGCCAGTAGTGGGTTTGGGGCTTGGGGCACCGAGCAGAGGCCGTGAGGGAAGCGGTGAGAGATGGTGGGTAAGGCCGTCCTCAGCTTTGGCTCTGCACTTGGGACAGGGGGCGGCAGCAGTGGCAGCAGGAGGGCTCCTTTTACCAAATGTGACCTTGCATTTTAATGCCTCCCTAGACCTGCCAGGCCTCTCCTCTCAGGACTAACTGCCATGGACAAGGTGTTTAACGTCTTTGGGGTCTAGTTTCTTTGCTGAAGGGTTGATCTAAATTAGATGTGTTTTCAGCAGTTTTCCTTGATGGTTTATGTGTCTGTCAGGATCAGTGTAATGACCCTAATGGCAGCCGCACGTTTACCCATTGTAACGTCACACAGGTGACGTTAAATGTCAGGTTGCTTTGCTTTGGGCTGGAATCCCATGAAGTCAGTGGTCCCAATGGTTATTAGGTCATGCTGGTCAGAAACCTGTGATTGGCAGATGGGGGGGTTTCATTCAAGGAAAATAAGAAAGTTATTTTAAAAATACAGTTTGCTTGGTAGGAAAAAAGTCTTAAAAATGGGGTTCCTGAGGAAATACATAATAAAAGGAGACATTAGCATTGAGGTTTGGAATCACTGCCTGAGCCCATGGCTCTTCTCTCTGAACCCCTGCAGTCTGTGACCCCACGGGTCCTCAGTCGGTGACTGCTTAAGACTGCCTGACGGGGAGCAGCGGATGCGCTGTGTGCAGCAGGCGGCCAGGCCTCAGCCTCCGGGCTCGCTGATGCATCCCACCCAGTGCACCGCCAACGGAGGCCATCTCCCTGCCTGAGGCCGGGCTTCTGACAGCTGCTCTGCCTGGTCCAGCTGCACCCCAGCCCAGCCAATGCTGCCTGGCCTGTGTCTGCTCTGCTTAGTAATGACTGCTTGTGGGCATTGGGAGAGGTTGTACTGATGCCTGTGATTTCCAGTAAGGCTGACAAGCAGTCTTACTTCACGTCTTGGAGCCCGACATCACCGTCCCAGGTGTTTCATTCATTCATATAACAAAATTGGTAGATCCCTATACGTTGAAGGGAGTATGCTGGAAGCCAGTCAAGCAAGACATGGCACTCACAGTTTTGGTCTGTAGGAAAGAAAGGAAAGACGCAATCAAATAATTAAACTATGGTATTTTAACTATTAATGTAGCCATAAACATCCCCTTACTCTGATAAGAACGGGGCCGAGTTCTCCCTGCCCTTCATTTATTGAACATGACTAGGGCTGACCATGTCTTGGGCTCTTCACAAAGCTCTGGAGATACAGGAAGACGTGTGCGGGACATGTCCTGCCCAGAAGCTCACAGACCAGTCAGGGAAAAGTGTGTGAGGAGAGGACCGCTCTCCAGGGTGACGGGGGCCACAGTGGAGGCGATTTAAGCATAAAAGGAATTTATGTCTAGGATCCAGGAAATTCAGCCCTCTGGCCGCTGCCACTGCCGGCAGGAGTTCCCCAGGGAGGAGGGCAGTGGGCGTCCACTGGGAAGCTTCATCTCTGAGCCCGTGGGGGCCAGGGGAGGAGGCTCTGGTGCCTCCCGGAGAGCAGGGTGGGCCCTTGGTAGGCCTGGCTTGCTCTTGAGCCTCTCTGAAGGCTTTTGAGGATATTCTGGTTGGTTTTCAGTCAGAGTTGCTCTGTGAAAAGTGTACTCCTGGATAGAGTGACTTTGGCTGGCTTTACCATGGTCTCTCCAACCCTATCCTAACATGTGCCTACTCCAGCAGAGGTTCCCCCCCGACCCCCAACCCATAGGATGTGCTGTGGGGCTGGGGAGCAGGTTTCCTAAGAGTGAGAAAACCTTGAACTCTCCCACCTATGTTCGTACGGGATTCCTGGCCAGTGGTCGTCGAACAAACCAACAGCTTCCCTGGGATGGGAGCAGTGGCTCTGGCTGCCCCAATATGGTGGCCACTGATCTAAGCTTTAATTTAAGGTTGGGGTTAGTGGTAAAGAGGTTGTCGGCTTGTCCTATTGTTACTGGACAGGGACCTTCCCCTGAGCAGGTCTGCCTAGGGCCTGCTGTTGTGTGTGGGTTCTTGACTCTGTGTAGGAAAGATTTCACAACACGAGTCCAGGCGACTATGAGGGTACATGTCTTAAAGCTGGGGACAGTGAAACAAGGAAGGGCTTAGCATAGTAGCAGCCACAGGAGAGCCTAGGCTGGGCTTCCTTAGCTCACAGGGAAGCCAGGGAAAAGGGGGCTGTGGGGACAGATTCAGGGGATCGGCCTGGGACAGGCTGCCAGCTGCCCACTGCCTGAGAGTTTGGGAGACACATGTCTGTGAAGGAAGAAGTGGAGGAAGAAGAAGGTAAAGGGAACGGTGCGGGCTGCTCCCAGGGGGAAAGCTCACACTCTGGGTCCTTTGCCATGAGGCTTTTATCTCTCTCTTAAGGGAGGGTTCTCCCAGGGTGCCCTTTCAGGGTCGTGGTCTCCTCTGATTGGTCAGCACCAGGGCAGGGGGTCTTCAGTCATCGCAGTTGGTCCTGGTGTTCACCCACCTGGATTTGCTGCTTTTCTGGGCCTGGAGCTGCAGTGCAGCTGAGGCCTGGATGTTATCTCTAGGGAGGAAAGGTTCCCTTGGGGGTGAGATCCTTATTTTCCCAGTTTTGCCCCCTGCCACTCCGTGCACTGGGGCCTTTTGTCCTGATGACTGTCGGCACCTGGCTGTAAATGGCTCTGCCACTGTGCCCAGCTGTCTGTCTCAGTTTCCCTTTTCCACTTTCCAAGGAATTTTCGCAGCTTCTTACTGTCCTGTCTCATTTTCACCTTGACTGCTGGTCAACACGTGTTTCATTCACATAGTAACGGCTCCTGAGCTCCTTCCTGTGTCAGCGTGGCATGGCCTGGACAGTCCTCTATAACCTAAGCTTCACACGGACATTTACTGCATTCTGTGCCAGGTGCTGTGCTGAGGACACAGATGAGGGACGCAGTACAGTGCCTATTCTGCAGTAGCTCAGCGGCATCCACCCACTTCCGGGAGTTGTTTCATTTGTGAGCAGTCAGGATGGCTGTCGGGGGAAGCGTGCGGAAGCGTGCATGACACTCGCAGCTCTGAGCAAGGGAAGTGCGCTGGGGAGGGGGCTTCCTGGAGCAGCAGCAGCAGCAGAGCGCTGTGTGGCAGGCGGGCAGGACAGGCTGTGCAGGGAAGCTTCCTTCGTGTGTTGGGAAATGTGACTCAGAACTCTGGGAACTGGGACTGGAAAGTTCCCAGTGAGGCACATCTGGGGAGGCTGCAGAAAGTGCCAACCCACTTTATGTTTTAGTAATGGCAGCTCTGAGGACATGGAGTATTTTAAAGGAAGGCACAAAAGATACCAAGAGGGTGGCCTCAAGGTCATCAGCAAACAAGGAGACAGGATAAGATTAACACAGGATAGTAAAATACAAGGTTCAGTGAACACTGGGCTATTCTCACGTGAACGCGTTTTCACTAGGGCAGCCAGAGCAGGTGGGGCAAGGTGTGAATGGAGCTAGGTGACCAATTCTCACCCTGGCCCTGCTGCTAAATTGCCATGTAACCTCCAGCAGGTTACCTGTTTCTGGCCTTCTTTTACCCCACCTGGGAAATTGTGGTGTTGGGGAGAAGGGTGTTGGGCCATGTGGGCTCACCAGCACCGCCAGGTGGAGCGTGAGGCCTGCTCCGGGTGGGTGCATGGTGCCAAGGCCCTCAGACAGAGTTCGGGTGAGATGCTTGGAACCTGAGCTTGGAAGAGGAACGTGTTTGGTGCGTCCCAAAGAGCTCAGTGAGCCACCCTGCAGTCTGGATTCAGGGGGTGCGGTAGGTGAGGGTGCCCAGGCAGTGGCCATTTGCACATCTGCGGGTGTGTGCCTCAGCGTCCCAGAGGTGATGCAATACCAGGGTTGCCTTTAGAATCTCTTCACTGTGTCCCCTCACTGATTGGCCAACTTGCCCTGCGGGGCCTCCAGGGCTAGGAGGAGCTATATTCTCCCCTGGAGTGGCCTTTCCCGCTTTTGGAGAGCACGGATGCACAGGCTGGATGTCGACTTTATTCTTCAGTCTAAGCTTCCCTGAATCCGTTCTTTGACACTTTGCATTTTCTCATCTTCCACAACCCTTCCCCCAAACACATCCCCACTTTCTGACATTTGTGTTGGTCAGGACTCTGGTTGCAAGGACTAGAAATGGGCCTGAGTTGCGTTGAGGACAAAAGGAAGGGAGTTTTATTGGGAGGGTCATGGGTACAGCCAGGCTTAGGAAGGAAGGGCTGTCCGTTGCCTGGGAGAGCAGGAGAGAGGACACAGGACCCTCGTCCTTTGACTCTGTGCCTGTCCAGTCTCTTCTTTGAGACGTACATGGCCAGCCTGGTATGCCTGTCCCACAGCTGCTGAGATCAACTTGAATCTCTTATGACAGGATGAATAGTCGGCCCCAGCCTGGGTCAGATTTCCAGCCTGGACAAGGGGACGGTCACTGATAAACATGGCTGCCTTAGCCCCACCTCATGGATGGAGGGCACATTCCTAAGGGAGGGAAGAAAGGTGATCATGGGCTCAGGGATCCTTTGAAAGGTGGGCTCCAAGCTGTAGACCGTCCTCTGGGTGCGATGTGAGCAGCACCAGGGCTTCCTATGTGCAACCAGGGGCCAGGCTTCCACACCCCTCGTCCCAGGAGATGGATCCTCCAGCCCCTGGTCAGGTACTGTTGTTCCGGTTTCATACACAAAGGAAGCTAATCATGCTGCAGGCCCTTGCCTGAGGTCCTGTCTGAAGGGTGGCAGTCACTCAGGTCTGTCTGACCCCAAAGCCACATTCTCAACTCTAAGCCTTTTTTTCCACTTTAATCTTTGGTGGCTCCATCCCCATTGTTGATGAGTTGCGCTATTAATAAAACTTTTCTTCTTTCCTTCATATGCTGCTCCAGAGCCACATCTTCCCGTCTTGGATGTGTGTAATTTCTTGTTAGACCCAAGTCCAGGCCCTTAAAGTTTTTTTATTTTATTTTTTTTAAGGTTTTAATTATTTTATTTCAGAGGGAAGGGAAAGGGAGGAGAGAAACATTGATCAGTTGCCTCTTGTATGCCCCTTACGTCCCTGACCAGGAACTGAAGCAGCAACTTTCAGTTTGCAGGCTGGTGTTCAGTCTGCTGAGCCACACCAGCCACTGCTGAGCTACAGAAGCCAGGGCCAGGCACTTAAATTTAATCCCATTTCCTAGTATGTTCATATCTTTATCACAGAACGTGTTTTTGTCACCATTTTTTTTTTTTTTTTTTTTTTTTTTTTGGAGCATTGAAAGATTCATTGATTGAGAAGGCCTAGCATCTGAAGTTGGGAGAACTAAGTCTCAAATCCATCTTTAGAGAGCTCAAAATTCAGGTGTCATATATCAAGGGAAGGGAAGATGGGTGAGTTGAAGACATGGGGGTGGGGCTATAGACAGCTAGGCACAGAAAGGGGATCCAAGGAAAAGCACAAAACTTCTAAATCCCTTTGTTCCTGGTAGACCCCTACTGATCTGAGTCTGGTTCTGGATCCTTACTTTGTGCCTATTTCCCCATCTTATGATTCTTGTTCATTTCCCATCATGGGAAGGTCTGATGCGAAGCCTTTTGTGTATCTGCATGCTGGCCACTGATTGACTCTTTAAAGGAAAGCTTGGTGGACAGTGCCGATTCCCGTCGACACTGCTCTCAGCACTGGACCCTTTGGGGTGACCCTTCACCCAGTTCCTCACTTGTTGTCTTGGAACTCAGCACACACCCTTGTCCTCAGGGCTAGCAGAAGGTACCGTTCCTGGCTGGAACCTGAGGCAGCTCAGTTTGCTTCATATATTTCCTGCCCCAGGTGATACACCAAGGTTTGGCGATCCAGAAACTCACTCTGGTCCCTGCTCTGAGGTGTGCATGGTCTAGAGGAGGCAGGTGCTGGTGTCTTACGGGTACACCTGGGAAGGCTGCTTTACTTGCTGAATTGGGGTGGGGTTCTTAAGTCTTCATAAAGATGGAATTTAAACAGGGCTTTAAAGGATGAGTGGAGTTTGCCAGGCAAACAGTGTGGCTCTTACGGGAAGGATAGCGTCGGCAGAGCAGATTGTGCAAGGGGTGGTGTGCATGTGATCCACATACTCAGGTGTATGAGTATTTCCTGCATTTCTGTCTCCATCATTTGTGTGTTCATAATAAAAACCAACTTAAGCTGCCTTTGGCTTAAGCAGAAACCAGGTGTTTGAAGGGTGCAGGGATCACTCAGAGAACCTCTGGGGTACAGTGGCACAGACTGAGAAGGCGGGACCGCTGCTCCAGGGACCTCAACCAGTGGAGCAGTGGGTGCTCCTCGCACACCCTCGGAGGTTCCCTCCCTCTGGATTCGCTGCTGTCCTTTAGCAGTGATTCCAGTTTTGAAGTAGAAGGCTGCACGTGGGCTGGACTTCAGTTTGCCTTCAGTCAGAAGGGGCTTACAGCAGAGCGGTGGGGGGCGGGGGTGCTGCTGAGGGCCCAGCGTGCAGGAGCTGGGGTCCAACAGCAGGGGATTCGGGTGCCGAGGTAGTGGGTGACGCTTGGGTCTTCAGGCAGGATGAGCGCCCAGCTGTGGTGTGGGAGGGGTATATCTGCTTCAGCTGGTGGCAGGCGTCTAAGAACCGGGGTCCCTGGCTGGGGAAGCAGAACTGCTGTCTTCCCAAGCCCCAGCCTGACGCCAGTCCCTCCTATCCCCAGAACCGGCCTTCGGTGATCACCTGCGCCTCTGCCAGCGCCCGCAACTGCAACCTCTCGCATTGCCCCATCGCACACAGCGGCTGCATGGCCGGGCCGGCCAGCTACCGGAGGGCCCCAAGCTGTAAGTGTCCCGGGGCAGGGGTGGCCAGGTGGGCTCGGGCTTCCTCAGTCAGCATGACTTCCAGTGCGGTTTGCTTACTTCCATCTCATGCTGTAGATGGGAACCCCTAGCTCCTGGAGCTTATTTCTAATTGAGACTGAAAAATTGGGATTTTTAGAGCACATATGCCCCTAGCATTGTTTCTGGCTTGGGTGGGAAGGGAGGAAGACACGCACTGGACCTGACCGTCAGGATCTTTCTCTAGTTGGGTAAAAATAGGCTCTACCATTACTGAACTCCACATTCTCTCTCTGAGCTTGTAGCTAACCCAGGGCGGCAGGCATGTTGCCAGGTTACAGGATCAGAGACATGTGCCCAACTAAGTGGGGTGGACATGGGCCCTTGACCACTGTCCTGTTCCCCCACAGCCACCACCACCTGTGACCCCGTGGTGGAGGAGCATTTCCGCAGGAGCTTGGGCAAGAACTACAAGGAGCCTGAGCCGGCGCCCAACTCGGTGTCCATCACGGGCTCCGTGGACGACCACTTTGCCAAAGCCCTGGGAGACACGTGGCTTCAGCTCAAGGCAGCCAAGGACGGCGCGGCCAGCAGCCCTGAGTCAGCCTCACGCAGGGGCCAGCCCGCCAGCCCCTCTGCCCACATGGTCAGCCACAGCCACTCCCCGTCCGTGGTCTCCTGAAGGGAGTACCACCCTCGATCAAGACGTCAATCTGCATGGTTTGCCTGAGCTTTGAACAGTCAGTCCTTAAAAAAAAAAAACAAAAAAACAAACAAAAAAAAATTTCATGGGAGTGGGGTGGGGGGAAGGGAAGGGACAGTTTATTCGCAAAAACCATGTCAGTGGGATTTTTGTTCTGTTTTTGTGCTTGCTTGGTATTTGTACGCCAGGGCCCTCAAACACGATAGCAGGAACAACATGTGGAACATCTGTCTCATGTAGCATCCTAACTTCCTGCCTCAGTTACCAAAGAAACCTCTGATGCAGGTCTGCTGCCCCAACTGGGCCGGGACTCCATGGCGCGCACTTTCTCAGTCACAAGCCATGACATTGGTGACCCAAATGCTTTGTGCTTTTCCATTTGCTTCTTGAGACCGGGGTGTGTGCGGCTTAGCTTCCGTGGCTTGTTAGGTCCAGCCCACATGTGTGTGCTTGTGTGTGCGTCTACTTGAAGAGAACAGAGGACTGTTGTGTCTGATTTGCACTATTGGAGGAGGACTAGAGTTGCCTGCTTGACAACTTTATGTGAGATGCTAGTACTGAGGGCAAACTGCTGAAAAACAAAGGGTTTAAGGATGACATTTCTGACCATTTGTGTGTTTTTGTTGTTGTTTTTTAAATTTAGACAAAACAGCTTTGGAAGGGGAAGTCTCATACCGGTTATAGGTCTTTCTCTCTCTAGATTTCAGGTGCTTGCAACTGGACTGCAGATTCCACCAATCACGGGCATTTTACTTTCTCTAAACACTGCAGTTTGTTAGACTAGAGCTGAGGTTGAAGATTCCGTAGTGCTTTAAACGTGATGCATGTTTTAAGGGAGAAAAATAGCTGGTTTCTATTAATTGTATAGACAGTAAACACAAACCTTAATACTTACTAGCTTCTGTTCAGAATTAGTTTATTTTTGTCAGTTACAGTCCTAGATATACTTACTGCTGGTACAGTTGTACTCTAAGATTTGTATTTGATGTTCATGTTACTCCCAAGTAGTAAGGGGCCAGGCGGCCCCTGGCAGGCCCTGGTGACGGGCAGTCGAGTTGTTCGTTGGTCAGCCGTGGTGTAGGATGCTGGAATTTTTGCTGCGGGCTGACAGCATCATTTAATTTTTTGCATCCCTGTCTGCTTATTACTAGTTCCCAGGGGAGTTGGGATTTGTGTTTTCCAACTGCCTTCCGTGCAGAAACTGCTCCCTTTAACTCTCTTGGCTAAACAGCAGATTACTGACAATCTGTGATGTGCTATTTTGTGTGCTTCCTCGTACGCTGGGGCCAAGGCAGTATACATTCCTCTGACTTTATACAGTTATTACTGCATTTATTATCGTTTGCTATAGTAATAGCTACTAACTAGAAATTAGGTGAAGAAGAAAGCATGACAGACACAGCTGTGGATGTTCAACAGCTGCTCCTCTTTTTGGTAAACGCACATGTCTACCCTTTGCCCCTCCACCGGGCTACACTCCAGCCTCACTCACCAAAGGGCTTAAGAAGTCACCGGGCCAGGTGATGCTGGCGTGGCCACCTCACCTGTGAGGCATTGTGGACTCACGGGAGCCCTTGAGGCTGGTTCTCCATATGAGAAAAATACAGGTTAGTTGGTTCATTTTGAAAATTGGCGCCAGGTCAAAAGGTCGGAGGATTGGCTCTTGCTGTGGTCACAGGGTGGCTGCAGGTCTTGGAAAACGTGAAAGAAAAGCCCTCTCCTCTCGCCCCTGCACACATTTCACTCCCACTTAACTGGGCTTCCAGGCTTTCGCATTCAGGCCCCTGTATCTTCTGTAGGAAAAATCGTTGAGAACACTTTTTTTATATAGGTAACTTTAAGACCATCATTACGCTGTGCGTAAAGAATGTACAGAGAAATTTGTAGGTATTTTTTGAAGAACAATTAATTTGTTAATGATATGTAGCTATTTAATTTTTCCCGTTCCTATTGTAATCATTCATATTTTTTTGTTTGGAAAAAAAAGTTGATCTTTTTTTTGTCGTAGATTTGTCTGTAAAAGTGCAGGAACACAGTTATTCTATGAGAACACTGCATCTGCCTTAATAGCCACTAGTTTGTTATTGCTACAGGCTACTGAGCGTCGCCACAGGAAAACAACCCCACTGCAGGCGGGCTCTGTGAAGAACGGCTCCTCAGACAGCTCTGTCAGTAACGAGGGTGCGACTCTGGGAGGGAACAGTGGTGCTGACGCCCAGGCCCCTGGTGCACTGACCTATCTGGGATAGGCAGTACCCTGGGGGGGCCTCGGGCAGACGGAAGCAGGAACCAAACATTTCACTGGGTAAGGACACACTCCCTGGCCTCAGGAGGAGCACAGTGAGGTTCTTCACAGAGCCACGCCATCTGCAGTGTGTCCTGACAGTTCTCTCCATGTTTGTAAATCTGTAATATACCATTCTCTGTGGCCTGTTTTTCCTGGAAAAAGAAGAAAAAAAAAAGGTTTGGCAGGCCATCTTTTTTTTGTACTTAAAAGTAGCCTTAAGAACAATAATAAAGTGCTCTTAAACCACCGACTGTATGTGTGACCCTTGGGTCCTGGAGTGACAGCATCAGGGCTTTTGCTGGGAGGACTGACGGCGGGGCGGGGCAGTGCTTAGCAGCCCTGTGCCTACCTGCAGAGGTGCCCCCAGCTATGCTCCCATCGACTGGAAAACTGTAATTTTAACTCTGTGAGAAGCATCCTTTAAACCCTGACCCATAGAAATTCTAATCAAGAGTGGGCTTCAGACTCCATTTTGACTTTGGTTCCAGGCCAGAGACTACAGGTGATACCACAAGGATAAAAAGCTTGGAAAGGCACCTCCTCTCCCCTGGGTGTCCACACCCACCTCTCTGGGTGTCACAGATGCGCAGACTCAAGATAAAAGGGAAAATCAGTCCAAGCCTGAGTGACACATGGTATGAGTGACACATGGTAGAGCCCATCTGAAACCGCCTGCTGGACACCTGGCCACAGACGGAGGCAGACACGCTGTCAGCCACCCCACACTGGAGTCCAGCGCCCGAGAGGCCCACAAGGACCCTGGGATGCGGTTTGCAGTGCAGCCCTGCATTGGTCTCTAATAGGAGCTGGCTTGTCACTTCCCCATTTAGTCTGTCTTAGGCCGATTCCTCCCTGTCACCCCATGGGGGCCAAAGTGGAAAGGGTCCTGGGCAGCTTGACTATCAAACACTGTGACAACAAGAAAAAAAGAAGTGCTCACAGAGGGAACCAAGTCCCAAGTTGATGGCAATGCCAAAGCCAAGGTTATTATTGAGCTTAGAACTGGTGGGATCACGAAGCATGAGAAATGGAGAACACCGGACGCTCCTGTCAGCAAAGGGAGGGCTGCAGTCCTCAAGGTGTGGAGAGAAGGGAACCAACGAGCTTAGAGGGTCGCGGGGCCCAGAGTCACCAGTCTTAGGGCAGCTGTCCTGCTCTGGCCACTGAGAGCTCCCCAGCAGGCAGCCAGGGAGAAGTTGGCCACTCGAGGGGTGGGCTGTGTCAGACGGTCTCGTCGTCACTCATGTCCCAGATCTGCGTGGAGAAGGGAAACATTCAGCAGAGTGTTCAGTGGCTGGGTGCCGCCCACTGATGCTCAAGACACTCAGTTGTGTCAACAAGGCAAAGGAAGAATGGCTCCCATTTGCAGGTGACACCCTCCCTTGTTACCTGGAGACTGACACCTCCATTTCTTGTATAATGAAAGCGAGTCTTAGGTGAAGTTACTTGCCCAAGAGATTGTCAGTAAGTGGCTGAGCCCAGGGGGAGAGCTGGGATTTGGCCCTGGGGAGCGTGGCCACCTCCCCGGCTCTCTCGCGCCCACTGCAGGGCTAACATCCTTGCCCCGGTCAGGTCCCCGTCAGCCCCTGCTCACTTGTTTCTGTGGACCTGACCATGACCCCAGGTCATCTTGTCTCTTGAATGGTTTCCTTCTTTTGGAAAATGTCTGCCTGCATTTTGGAAGGCAAGCACCCTGAGGGCGGGGACTCCGGCTGTGCCCTTGCTGCATGGGGCGCAGGAAGCCTGCCCACATGTCCCGTCTCTGCAGGCCCCCACCCCAGGTGGTCTGCTCCATCATCTGTGTGAACTGTGGTCCAGGTGCCAACTGGACTAAAAGTCACATGCCCGGACAACACTAAAGAACTGGTTGCCCCTCAAGAGTAAGCCTTCCCCCCACCAGCCCCAGTGGGCGCCTGGGCAGGACAGTGGAGACAGCCAGATCTTGCCTCTGTTCCTCAGTGTGTATAGTTGGGGAGCCTGGGACTTATGAGTCTGACATGGGGTTGGGGGAGATGTGAATATGGGGGAAAAAGGATTCCCCAGAGAAACCAGAAAAAGCAGAGGGAGGCACAGCCCGCTGGCCCCATAGGCTAGCTCTTTCCCTCTGGCCAGCACAAAGGCCCCCTGGGCTCCTCGTATCCTGGGCTCCCTGGGGGGCTGGTCCCTGAACTTATGCCTCCAGACTTTCAGAATTCCTAGAACTGGTTGCAAAAGGCCACCTCAATGCTAGCTGAGCCGAGAGAAGGAACATCATGTTTACACGAAGCTGGCCCGGGGAGACGAGGAGGCCCAGCCAAGGTAAATATCAACACCAGCTTGGCTTTCAAAGTCAAGGATGTGGAAAATAAATAGAGAAGGAAATTTCCTCTCTCTGGAGGACCTAGCAGCCCAGGCCCGAGGGCTGGTGGGTGTGCCTCTCACACCCACCCCCCATTTTTATATACATTTTACTGTCTGAGGACACTGGCATGAGACTGCAATGTCAACATCCAGCTGCCTGCAGGAGCAGGGTCCAGATGTAGAGAAGCCAGGTCTGGGGTCCGGCAGCCCGAGTGTGGCCAGGCAGGCCCTGCCCTCCCCTGGGCCCAGCTCATGCTCAGCATGGCCTGAAGACTCTTGGGCCTGCCTCCTAGACCTAGAAGACTCAGTGGTAGGAGGTGGGGTGGCTGCATTTGGAATGAAGGCTGCACTTAGGAGCTTTTGGACTTGGTGATCCTCCAGTTCTGACCATCTGAGCAGGCAAACAGGGTTCACCAGTGGAATTCATTGATTCACTATGCCATTCAATAAACACCCATTTATGGAGCCTCTCCCTGTGCCAAGAGCTGTGCAGACCTGATGCAATCCTTCTTACACTCCTCACAACAGCCTGTGAGGTGCAGATGGAAACAAGCTCAGAGATAAGGCAGCTTGTCTGGGATCATACAGCTAGTAAGGTGCAGAGCTGGGAGCCCAGGTGTGTGGGAAAAGGTTATGAGAACAAAAAGGGCTGCCTGCACTGCCTGCAAGGTTGCGGCAGACTGCATGGAGGAGGTGGCCTTGACCCTCTATGACCTGCCGTGCCTCCTGGGAAGCCACTAGCCAGGGCTGGGCAGAGTCCATGACAATGAGCCATGCTGTCTGCAAATCTGCAAATGGGCAAATGAAGTTGTTGGCAGGACCCTAGGGGTCCAGGAAAGGGCTATATGGAGAGCAGGAGCCACCATTCATTTTACTGGATCACAGTTATGAGAAGGGGTCCTTGGCACACGGCAGGGAGAAGAGAGAGCTGGCGTGAGTCAGGGAGGTCCAGGCTGTACAGGGAATCAAGTAAGGCGCCCGAAGGCTGATTATGATGGGAGTCTACAGAAGGGGTGGGGGTGGGCTTTACATAACCGCTTGGGGATTTTCCAGAATGAGTTCCCTGGGCCTGAGGTGCGTTTCTCCTGTACGGCAGCCAGTCCTTTTCCTATCAGCTGGGCCCAGGAAGGCAGCAGCAGATCTTAATTTTAAATTTCCAGAAACTTCGGCCTTGACAAATACAGTGTAATCTTGCGTACACGTGGAATCTAAAAAAGCTGCACTCAGAACCAGAGAGGAGGTGGGTGCGGTTGCCAGGGGTTGAGGGAAGTTTGGGATGTTGGTCAAAGGGCACAAACTTTCAGTTACAAGAGGGACAAGTTGCAGGGATCTAATGTACAGCATGGGGACTACAGTTAATACTGTTAGATACTTCAGATTTGCTAAAAGAGTAGATCTTAAGTGTTCTCGCCATATACACATACACAAGTAACTAGGTAGGCAACCTCCTGAATGGGAAAATGTATTCCCCAGTGATATAGCTAATAAGGAGATAATATCCAAAAAATATAAGAAACTGATACAACTCAATAGCAAAAAATAAACATTTTGATAAAAAATATGCAGAGGACACAAAAAAAGCATTTCTCTAAAGAAGACATACAGATGGCTAACAGACATATGAAGAGATGCTCAACATCACTAATCAAGGAAATGCAAATCAAAACCACAATGAGATACCACCTCATACCTGTCAGAATGGCTATTACCAAAAAGTCAACAAATAACATGATGGCGTGGATGTGGAGAAAAGGGAACTCTTGTGCCCTGCTGGTGGGACTGAAAATTGATGCAGCCACAGCATGGTGAGTCTTCAAAAAACTAAAAAACAGATCTGCCATATGACCCAGTAATTCAAATTGTGGGTATTTATCCAAAGGAAAAAAAAACACTAATTTGAAAATACATATGCATCCCTATGTTTATTGCAGAATTATTTACAACAGCCAAGATAGGGAAGCAACCGAAGTGTTTCCTAGATGAGTGGATAAAGAAGATGTGATGTGATTATAGATATAATGGAATATTATATGTAGTCTTGCCATTTGCCACAACATGGAGAGACCTAGAGGGTATTTACACTAAGTGAAATAAGTCAGAGAAGTACAAATACCATATGGTTTCACTTACATGTGGAATCTAGAAAACATAACAAAACAAATACAGACTTACAGAAACAGACCAAAGGAAAAGGGTGTCAGAGGGGATGGGTGGCAGAGATAAGGGGATTATGGTCAATATTTGGTAAGTGTGCACAGTGACAGATGATTACTAGAATTAGTGGGATGGGATGATCACATATAGGAAATGTCAAATCACTATACTGTATACCAACTATTAAGTTTTTTAAAAAGTATGAGGTGAGAGATGTATTGCCTTTGGTAATCATTTCACAATGTATATGTATGTTAAAGTCATCATGTCTGTACAATCTAAATATATGCAATTTCTGTTTGTCACTTATTACTCAGTAAAGGTGAGGGTGGGGGGAAATTAAGCCTCGCCTCCTCTTAGACTGTGGACTCCCAGAGGGGACTGCAGTCTGTCTGCTCCCGGCAGGGTCCACATAGCATCTGGCAGAGCAGAGGCCCAGGGAGTGTTCTCTTAATGAATGAAGGTTATATTAAATTGGCAAAGTTTTTAAAAAATGATAATACTCAGTTAATGCTGAGAAGGGTATGGTGAAACATTTCCAGGAGGAGTATACATTGGTAATAAATTTTTTTAAAAAAGATTTGCGAATATGTAACGCAAAGCATTAAAAGTGTTCATACCCTAAGGAAGAGAAAATCTTTTTTTGCAGGTGATATGTAAATATACATAGAAAACCCAAGAAAATAGTAAGATGAGTACAGACAATAAAGAGCATTCAGTGAGATAAAACATTAACAAATTATAGAAACAATTATTAGAAAACGTAATGAAAGGGGAGAACCCATTCATTATA